TCTGATACCAGACTCTAGTGTCTCTCTCCTCACATGTTGACATGAGGAGAGAGACACTAGAGTCTGATACCAGACTCTAGTGTCTCTCTCCTCACATGTTGACATGAGGAGAGAGACACTAGAATCTGATACCAGCAGTAGATTTATAGATGTGGACGAGAGCAACAGGGAGATCAGGAACTGCATGAAAGCTGTGCCTCTGAATTTAAATGTTGTTGTGTGAATCTGAAAAAAGAGTCACACAATAACACAAACCTCCTCTCCCCTCCCTCCCTGTCCTCTCTCTCTCAATGTCTCTCCTCTCTCTCTCTCTCTCTCTCAATGTCTCTCCTCCCTCCCTGTCCTCTCTCTCTCAATGTCTCTCCTCCCTCTCTCTCTCTCTCTCAATGTCTCTCCTCCCTCTCTCTCTCTCTCTCTCTCTCTCCCAATGTCTCTCCTCCCTCTCTCTCTCTCTCTCTCTCTCTCTCAATGTCTCTCCTCCTGGTCTCTCCTCTCTCCTCCCTGTCTGTCTGTCTGTCCTCTCTCTCCTCTCTGTCCTTTCCTCTGTCCTCCTGCCCTCCCTTCCTGTCCTGTCTCCTCTCTCCTCCCTACCTTGTCTGGATCAGGTTTTCCCCGGCGGTGGTGCAGCAGCCGGTCCTGTCCCCGTGTCTCGGTGTCCCGTGCATGCTGTCTATCTGGCTGCACATCACAACGTGGCTCCTCTGGAGCTGCTCCCGTCTCCTGACTGCGGCCTCGTAGTTGAGGCGGTTGGTTCCTGGTTTCAGGCTGAGACAGAAGACCAGCTTACTACGGATCAGGTACTGAGACACTACCAGATACTCTGTGTGAAGGATCAGACTATGTATGTGGGTTCTACATTGAAGGTTCGCCTTCATGAAACGTCCACAGACACAAAGTTTAAGTGAATTACTTTGAGACTCTGATGCCCCCTGCTGGTGAACAGAGGACTCAGACAGAGGACTCAGAGGACTCAGACAGAGGACTCAGACAGAGGACTCAGACAGAGGACTCAGAGGACTCAGACAGAGGACTCAGACAGAGGACTCAGAGGACTCAGACAGAGGACTCAGACAGAGGACTCAGAGAGAGGACTCAGAGGACTCAGACAGAGGACTCAGAGAGAGGACTCAGAGAGAGGACTCAGAGAGAGGACTCAGACAGAGGACTCAGACAGAGGACTCAGATAGAGGACTCAGACAGAGGACTCAGATAGAGGACTCAGACAGAGGACTCAGACAGAGGACTCAGACAGATGACTCAGAGAGAGGACTCAGATAGAGGACTCAGATAGAGGACTCAGACAGAGGACTCAGACAGAGGACTCAGACAGATGACTCAGACAGATGACTCGGACAGAGGACTCGGACAGAGGACTCGGACAGAGGACTCGGATAGAGGACTCAGACAGATGACTCAGACAGATGACTCAGACAGAGGACTCGGACAGAGGACTCGGACAGAGGACTCGGATAGAGGACTCGGACAGATGACTCGGACAGATGACTCGGACAGAGGACTCAGACAGAGGACTCGGACAGAGGACTCAGATAGAGGACTCAGACAGAGGACTCAGATAGAGGACTCAGATAGAGGACTCAGACAGAGGACTCAGATAGAGGACTCAGATAGAGGACTCAGACAGAGGACTCAGACAGATGACTCAGACAGAGGACTCAGACAGAGGACTCAGACAGAGGACTCGGACAGAGGACTCAGATAGAGGACTCAGATAGAGGACTCAGACAGATGACTCAGACAGAGGACTCAGACAGAGGACTCGGACAGAGGACTCAGATAGAGGACTCAGATAGAGGACTCAGATAGAGGACTCAGACAGAGGACTCAGACAGATGACTCAGACAGATGACTCAGACAGATGACTCAGATAGAGGACTCAGATAGGGGACTCAGACAGAGGACTCACCTCCTGTAGTGCTGTCTGAACTGCTCCAGAGCGTACACAGTGAACGGCCTGATGGACTTGTGTGAGGGGAATCCAGAAGACGGCAGCTTCAGATGTCTTTTATCACCACAAACACACGAGAGCACATAAGAGACACGTTAAGGTATAACATTTAAAAAGGACACTAGAAATATAAACAGCAAACATGTTTATCTGTGGACACATCACCATGAGATGAATTGTGATAATGTCAGTATGAACTCACTGTCCGGGGGTGTGCATGACTACAGGTCGGTCACAGGAGAGGCAGTGAAATCTGTCCACCAGCTGTCTGGAAATACAACACAAAGAAACAGCTGACTGTAGTGAGATACCAAGAGGAAAGACAGCGTCTGAGTGTTCAGTTCAGTCCCATCAGAGGAGCGTTCGACATGCTGAGAGCTGTGGTTTCGGTGGTAAAGGATATTAAAGTAGACCTCTGCAGGAATATTTCTATTAATGTTCTACTTAAATCAATGCAGAAACACTTCAGACGCCAGCAGAGTCAGCGAGAGATTTACGTTACTTTACATTCAAACTGTAGAGATTAGTGGTTACTAAATATAAAAGCTAATGTTATCTTGCTGATGTTGAGAGTAAAGAGTAAAAAGAGATGTATATATATATACTGTATATATATATAGAAATATATATACAGTATATAGAAATGCTGCAACCTGATGAATTAAATCACTAGTTTGAAACTAGCTAGTAGTTACTGAAAGCTTAGGACTGAACACACACACACACACACACACACACACACACACACACCCCGTCAGCTCTTACTTCCTGATCCCAGCAGCGTCCTCGTGCTCTGGAGCTCCCTGAGCCTGCAGCTTCTTGTGGATGTTCTTCCATCGATCCTCCAGCTGCTCCTTCACAGAGTCCAACTCCATCCTGTTCAACTGCAGCGACATCACAAGTGTTAACGTGAGGGCTCAGGTGAGCCCGGATCAAACCTCCACATCTGTCTCTGGAGACGTGACCGGACATCTGGATGTGACTCACCTTACACTCCATCTCGGTGGAGAGTCGCTCCATCACGTTGTTCCAGTCATGCTCCTGACCCGTCACTTTGCTCAGCAGCTCGTGAAACATGACGTTGAGCTGCTCGGTCACAGAGTCAAACTGCAGACGGCTCACTTTGCTCTCCAGAGCACATTTATCTGCTTTCTTCAGGTGTGGAGAGACAACAGGAAGTAAGACAACAGGAAGTAAGACAACAGGAAGAGACAACAGGAAGTAAGACAACAGGACGTAAGACAACAGGAAGAGACAACAGGAAGTAAG